TGATCTTCAAGTCATATGGAAAGAAATATACGTTAACCCGAATTTACCACACTCGCAAAATCGCACACAGCCAACCATACACCCAGTATGGTATCGCGATTCGCGATTTTGTGCTATCATACTGGGTGTATGGTCGGCTGTGTGCGATTTTGCAAGTGTGGTAAAATCGCATAACAGCAAAATCGCATAACAGCCGAGAATACACCCAGCAGCGCTGCTGATGCCTGAACGGTATGTGGAATGAAGTGGGCGGGCATCGGGAGGCCACTATGGCACGGGGCAAGCACTATGGGCAGTCTATCTGAAGTGTACCTGGCGTATAAGACGACCCCCCACTTGGAGGCATATTTTTCAGGGCCAAAAAATCGTCTTATACGCCGGCAAATACGGTAATCCCTGCTAACATGGCAACAAGATGCTGGCAATGACTAAAGGCATGGTGGTCTCTAATATAAACACACATAAACACACAGGCACATGGGAATCCAAACTCTTAGAATCCAACTTCTAAACTCAAAGAATATAATCTTAAATGATTTGGGAGGAAGGTAAGAGTTTGGGGCTGGTGATATTTTAAGATGGGACATTGTTTTAGTCAGCGTAGGCCACTACAACAAAATGACATAAACGGATGACTTAAACAACTGACAGTTATTTCTAACAGTTCTAGAGGCTGGGAAGTTAAAGATGAGGGTCTGGCAGATTTGGTTCTTGGAGAGGGTTCACTTCCTGTTTTGCAGATAGATGTCTTTTTCCTATATCCTCACAAAGAGAAGACAGAAAGCTCTGGTGTCTCTTCCTCTTCTTTTAAGGCAGCGGTTCTCAACCTGTGGGTAGCGACTCCTTCGGGGGTCGAACGACCCTTTCACAGGGATCACCTAAGACCATCGGAAAACACATACTAATTACATATTGTTTTTGTGATTAATCACTGTGCTTTAATTATGTTCAATTTGTAACAATGAAATTGGGGGTGAGCACAACATGAGGAACTGTATTAAAGGGTCGCAGCATTAGGAAGGTTGAGAACCACTGTTTTTAAGGGCACTAATACCATCACAGGGGTTTTACCCTCATGAAATCATATAAACCTAATCACCTCGCAAAGGCCTCACCTCCTAGTATCACAATAGGGATTAGGACTTGAAATTTGGGAAGACAAAAACATTTAGTCCATAATAGGCACTTATATAACCTCCTCTAAAATTCCTCCACACCTCTTTTACCTGATCCACAATTACTCTCTGTCTTTACTAGGAATTCACTAACATTCAGACATAGTACTCTGACCTGTCTTTGAGGTTTCA